AATAACAAAGACACCTTTAGAAATGTTTAGTGATCTACCAACTAGATAATTGCCGGTTTTGTATTCTTTACATAACCTTATTTTTCTTTTCCTTCCCATTCTTCTCACATCGGCCATTTTTACTAAGGGCAGGTTACTAGCTCTCCTTTTACTTCCTGGAACTCTGGCATATGTGACTAGGACATGTGACCATGCTCATCATCTCAGGGGAGGAAAATGCCTTTCCCTGAGATCTCCTGAGATTACAGACGAGATTACCCATCAATGCTCTGCTGGTGTAACCTTCCCAGGATGCAATGCTGGTGCAGAATTACATCATTAATGACCAAGAGGACCAGGAAGTAGAAAACAAAAAATTGTAAGTAAAATAAAAATATGTTTAATGAATGTGAGAGTGATTTTTAGTCAACGTGGGTAAAGGTCGGCTTTAATGTTCCCAAGACACTTTACAGGACATCAGGACCGGAGTGCAGGCATCAGGAAGGGCCCATTAATTATTATATCCTGCAGGTTCCCAACTTAATCATTGACTACAACTAAATAAGCTGCAATTAACAATTAATTTCATAAATCGATTAGTTTGCCGATTATTTTTCCCAATTAATCGGATACATTTTTTAAAAAAAATGATTTAATATTAATTAGTTAATTATTAAATGTTCTATTGTGTAATAGATCATATTGATTCTCTCTGCACAGCTCTCACCCCTGGCATATGTTACATATGTCACAGATAGAACTTGCGCAGGAAGAAAAACATTACCAAGCGGACTTTTCTCCTGGACTCCTCTCACCAGACGCTTTTGTCTGGGGGAATCGGATTGGCCGCGCACTTGAACCCTGTTGACGAAGCCTCCCCACGCTCTGCTCAGCGCTTGCCACAGTTCCCGGGCCCCAGCCAGTGCGTCCCCAGTTCCCCGGCATCTCAAATGTTGGGCAGTGTGCTGCTACACCAAGACTCCTCAGCTCTCTTCACTGGGACGGCCCTGCCTGTCAACCCGCCCCGGGTGAGTCCAGGAATGGTGTGGCCGTGTCTGCCGGTGGCGGGGAGAGGGAGGCTGTATGGAGCCCAACCAATCGACTGACCAACAAATCCATAATGAAAATCATTGACAACAATTTTCATTATTGATTTATTCGATTAGTTGTTTCCGCCCTAGTACAGGTTCACACCGAAATCCACTGTAAGGTGATATAAACTATACACGTGATGAAAACAATGCATAGGTAAAGATTACAGCGGCAGCATGCCAACGCCATCAGCAGATCCAGAGACAAAAGGTGGTCCAGTACACCAGCAGAATCTCCATAAAAATGTGTTTTGGGAACGCTCGTTCAATTTACTAATCGTTAGTAAATCAAACCGATGATCACGTTCAGACCGCAGTGACAAAACACAACAAAAAATCAAAGCAGCAGCATGAAAATATGTTCGGGAACATTTATTAACCACTTGAAGCCCAGGGTGTTAGACCCCCCTTCCTGGCCAGGCCATTTCTCAGTGCTGCGGTACTTTGACTGATGTTTATTCCGTCATGCAACGCTGTACTGAAATTCATTTTATACCATATTTTGGGGACACATAGAGCTCTCTTTTAGTGGTAGTTTCCCTACGTTATGTTAGAAAACATTATTAGCCACATTTTTGGTAAAATATAAAAGACGGGGTCAGATCGGGTAAATAGACACCATACATGTCAAGCTTTCCAATTGCGCACGCTCGCAAAATAACGAAAAACTACCTAAGAAGCCCCCAATGTGATAGCAAATATACGACAGGTGCTCTTTATGGAGACATCAGAGTCTCTAAGGCCCCTAATGTCACCCAGGGACCCCCAAAGCTTATGAAGCAGAGATCTGCTTTACCATCTTCTTCTCTGGCTGCAGCAGCAAGAGAAATGAGAGCTGAAGGCGGAAGTGATGTAACACACATATAATACACATCACTTCAGACATTAGGGCCTGTTCACATGATATCAGGTCCTGATCAGCAGACTGATGCAGTGCGTTTTTGCAGCATATTTTTATGCGTTCCAGTTAAAAAAAAAATTATTATTTTTTTTTTGCTGGAGTGGTGCTGTTAGTATGTTAGCTGCTGCGCAGTGCGTTTTTGAAGCGTTTTGCGTTTCCGGACCGTACAAAATGTGACATGCATTATTTTTTCTGCCGTAACCTGAGCGGACTGCGCACGTGAGAACTGTAGCCCATAAAACACATAGGGATACATTGGGATGCATTTTTAGTGCAGGAGCGTACGGATTCGGTCAGCACAGAAAACGGACGTTGTGTGAACAGGGCCTTGGAGATCAGAAGAGAGATCAGCAAGTAGAAGAATGCTGATCTCTCCTCCGTTTACAGTGTGAGCAGCCGCTGTGCCAGTCCAATGATGATAACCGGCAGCGGTGCTGGAAGCGCGGCTTCGGAGGGGGGTGGTTTCGCATACTGTTTGTTAACATACAAGACATCAGAGAGCTGTAGAGCCGCCCGATCACTTGTATGAAACAGCTGGTAACGGCTGTATACATTTTCCTCCGGAATACACCACCATCACCGCAGGAGGACACGCCGCCATTACCGCGGGAGGGCACGCCGCCATTACCGCAGGAGGGCACGCCATGCTTACTTCATTGCCCAGCTAGTAGCAGGTCTGTGATGTCATCCTATACAATACAGGAGCAGCAGTCCTGCAATGTATGAAAAGAAGCCGAGAGCCCGCCCACAGCCCTGTAGCGTAACTGCCGGGGGTGGGAGGAATACAGCGAGTAGATCACCTTATTTATCATCATACCTCGGGCCGGGCACAACGAGCAGGTAACCTATCCAGTGGAAGGAGGAGGAGCCAATGCAAAGGATTTTCTTCCCCCCGGAGTTCAGCTTTAACTATACCAGTGAAATCATTTCATCTGTCGTAGGGTGACAACGCTCACTCACTGTACTGTATCTAGGACTACAGAAGACCCCCCTCCGTCCCCCTCCTCAATACCACGGGGTATCACAGGGTGCAAATAAAAGCTTGGAAAAAAAGAAAGAATGCAGCCGCCACATCTATGGGAACCGGTGAGCTGCGATATGTCATTGCTGGTCTCAGGTTTAGATGAACTTTAACTATTTGCTTACAATGGGAGTAAAATTCTTTGTTTCTGTGTAGAACGAACCTGAATGCCGTCCTCCCCTTCAGTCTTATATCCGTCCTCACTATAACCGACCTCCTCTTCAGTCTTACATCCGTCCCCCCCTTCAGTCTTACATCCGTCCTCCCCTTCAGTCTTACAACCGTCCTCCCCTTCAGTCTTACAACCGTCCTCCCCTTCAGTCTTACAACCGTCCTCCCCTTCAGTCTTACAACCGTCCTCCCCTTCAGTCTTATATCCGTCCTCCCCTTCAGTCTTATATCCGTCCTCCCCTTCAGTCTTATATCCGACCTACCCTTCAGTCTTATATCCGTCCTCCCCTTCAGTCTTATATCCGACCTCCGGCCTCCCCTTCAGTCTTATATCCGACCTCCGGCCTCCCCTTCAGTCTTATATCCGACCTCCGGCCTCCCCTTCAGTCTTATATCCGACTTCCGGCCTCCCCTTCAGTCTTATATCCGACCTCCGGCCTCCCCTTTAGTCTTATATCTGACTTCTGTCCTCCCCTTCAGTATTCTATCCGACTTCCGGCCTCCCCTTCAGTCTTATATCCGACTTCCGGCCTCCCCTTCAGTCTTCTATCCGACTTCCCCTTCAGTCTTCTATCCGACTTCCGGCCTCCCCTTCAGTCTTGCACAGTTGTACCGGCTCCTCTCCTGGACTGAAATTGCTTCCTCTGATATCACTGCACACTGCAAGCTTCTCACCCTGTACATTAGAAGCTGCAGCAAGTCAGACAGAGCCCGCCTCATTTCCTGGCTGGAGCACTTCCAGCATCATTTATGACTTTCCTCCACAGCCTAACTCACCCTGCCCCCCCCCTACATTTATTGGATTTCAGTTCTGTCAATCAAGGAGGCTCATCGTCACAGGTGGGTGTCCTAAGACAATACAGCCTGCCTAGAAAAACCCATAGACTGACAGCTAGCTACCCATCAAGACATTTTGATATTTACATAGCTCCTCCCAAGAGCCAGCCCACTGCTGGCATCAGGGCTGAGGGCTCTTGAGAGGAGTACTGAGGCCGGGTGATGTGATGTATTCAGGAAGGATCTGCCTGCATTGCAAAGGGAAGCAGAGAGACCCAGGGATGACATCACTGGGTCTAATATAAGGAATGTGATGAAAACAGGAAGCTGGTTGATGAGGAGATTTAGAAGGAACCCAAATTATCAGCATAAGATGAAGCTTTAACATTCATGTGTGCAGCTTTGCAGAGAAGAGTTAAAATTTCCCTGAGACGTTACCTGGCTTCCTGTCCCGGTGACACCCCAAGAAACGGGGGACGCAGTTGTCACCAATAGAGGAATGCCCAGGCAACAATCAGAAACCAGTGTGGGAAGCTTCCACCCTTCCCCGCTCTACAATATGTTTTTGTTTGCATCCCTGCGGGAGAGATTCCTCATCACTTCCTGCCCTGACATCTATGTGAATAGAAATATGGTACAGCAAGCCTGTAGAATGCAGAATTACAACAAACACAATGGAGGCTCACAATAGGATTTCGATGTAAACAAACTATGGATCCATTGCCTGATGGGAAGATCTGATTG